TCTGGGTTATGTGTGTGTGTATACAGGAAAGTGCTCCGGGTGATGCGTGTGTGTACAGGAAACTGCTCTGGGTTATGTATGTGTGGAGGTTCTTTTCATACTACTCTCTTCTTGAAACTATGTGCCTTGATGTCAGATAAGATCATGTCAAGGGATTAAACTCATCTACCTAACTTGCACAAAGCCACCTTATGGACCATGCCTATCTGTGCACATTATTCATGTTAACAAAAATTTGCATCCTTTCCTATTCAGAGGATGTAAAATTAGTGGCATCATCAGTTTTGTTATCGCACATCGTGGTAAACCATAGTGTTACCTCATCACCACCACCACCTTGGGCAGGCTGGCTAGCAAACCCCCCAGGTGAGAGGAGTGCTCCACCTGACTTGCCCCTCTCATTTCAGCCCCACCACATTGCCACTCTTCCCCAATCCCATTGGCCAAGGCAGTCACTCTCCTCTCCACCCAATGGCAGATGTGGCTCCTAGGTGATGGGGTGGGGGCAGGGACAAGTCACCACACTGCATTATAGGCGGCATCAATCTAGAGAAACCACCTTACATCCCCCGTGATGCCGCTGTGAAAGATTTCACAACACCGATACTCTTGTCTCTAAAACTGCTTATTCCCTTACCCAGGGATTATTTAGATCCCATGGAAATGAAAACAAAGCTTTCTCAAAAGCTTTTTCACATTCAGAGAAATGCTACAAACTCTACTTTAGAAAGAAACATTGCAAATTAGCATGTTAAAAATTCTGATTATTGTCAGTTAAAAACTAGGAGCACCCTATTTAGCTTTAGCTGATGCAAGATTTTCCAAATTTGTGTAATTATAAACCCACTGTCCTGGAGCTCATTCTGACTTACTGGACTCTACAGGACAGAGTAAACCTGCCCTCTAGGGATTCCAACACTGTAACTCCTTATAGGAGCAGACAGCCTCCTCTGTCTCCAGCTGAGGAGCTAATGCGTTGGAAGGCTGACCATGCCTAATGCTTAACCCACTGTGCAACCAGGGTGCCTTGTCTAATTACAGAATCCATTTTTTTATATTTTTAATAATGTTGTTAAGAATATGCATAGTAGAACATATATATAGCAGTTTCAACATTCACAATTCGGTGACATTACTTATTTGATTTTCAAGTTGTGCAAGATTCTCATCCTCTATGGTGCTGTGGGTTAGAGCGCTGTTGGTTTGAACTGTAAGGTCGGCAGTTAAGCTCACCAGCTGCTCCTCTGAAACCCGATACGGGTTGCTCTGGATTGGAACCTACTCCACTGCACTTAACAACAACAGTACCATAAGCTCACTGCTCCCTAAATTTCCTGTGGAACCTTCCGGGTTGCTGCTGTTGGATGAACCCCATAGAGAGAGTTCTTGAAAGAAGATGAAGCTCCAGGCAAAC